TGTTGGGGGCAATATGCTGACTCTGTAAACCGCTTAGAGAGGGCTGAAAGCCCTATGAAGCGGTATATAAAAATCTGCTATTGCTATTGCTATTGCATGAGGGGAATGTGCTCCATGCATGAGTCCAGACTTCCGAGGGGGTTGAAGAGATGACCAATGGTGACCTGCTGTACAACTGCAAGCAAAAATATATTGGACAGAATAGGTGAGGCAATGGTGTCTGGCAGCAAACACCCCACACCCTCCTTACCTTGTCTTGGCTCTCAGCAGCAGCCAAAGGCAGAGGTCAGTGGAGAGATATGTGGTCCGGCCAGCTGGATGTACCAGGAAGTCTCCTGGCCTGTCCCAGTCACATGGGATGGAGCAAGCACATTCAGTAGTCTGAATCACTTGCCATCCCTCCTGACTCTGTCTGCCATTGGTGCTGCCACTGTGCCTGCACCTTGGATGGCCAGCTGCAGAACCACTACTACCATAAACCTCCCCCCTGTACACACACACACACTTGAAAGGTTGGTAAGCACTGCCATCCTAGAAATGGTAGGGGACTGGCCCAATCACTTTGGCTTGGCCCAGCCCATCCTGGTATGCACACATATGCCTACCTGCTTCTATGCGCACACACACCTGCCAGGATGGGATTCACTGGGCCAAAGAAATTGCAGGCTGGCATCTTACCATTTCCAGGACAGCTAAGTAACCGAATCTGACCACATTGCAGGCCGATCTGGCCTGTGGGCCTTGAGTTTGAGACCCCTGACTTAGGGCTTGGTGCTGTCCAGATAACAGGCTTTGACTGTTCAGCATTTGAATCAGTGACCAGCTACAGAAAGAACATTTATAAACTGCAGGCTGAGAGTCTCATGGGTTCTCCTCAACATCAGAAAAGTCTAGAATAGAAGGGAAAATTTAAAGCTAGTGTGAAGGTGGTGTTTGTTACTTTTATACATGTCCATTTGCTTGTGGAAGGCCCAGGTATGGGTGTTCATCATGTTTATTGTGCTCAAGTGCAATAAATTCTTGTCCCAATTAGTCATGGACTTTCAATTAAATTTAACAGAAAAGGATTCATATTTTTGGATCCTCAGAGGAGTTCTCAAATGGATCTCAGAGGAGTTCTCAAAAATTAATGGACAATAATATTTGTAAAAAAAATTGCAGTTTTGCCATGTTCTTCTATAACTTCCTTTCATTTCCCCCACAGCACAAGATTAATGGTATTTACTCTGACAAGTACAGGATAGTTTCATCACACTGACATTAAAATTTATGCTCAAGCTGAGGAAATGAGATTTTGCATACTGTTGGGAAGCCTTGCCTAGTGTTAAGATCAATTATATTGATTTGTTGTAATTTGTGCCAAGTATTGAATCAATAAATAAATATTGCAAACCAAATCTATTTTCAATGGCATAGAAATATTTGACTGTCCAGAGATTCTTCTAGGAAGATAGTTTAACATTGTTACTGTGAATATATAGTATGCATTATGAACAAGGGTATTATCCTTTGGTGTTGAACTGTATCATTCATTTCGATGCAGACATTATCTGTGTTTAAAGAAAAATGTTGTTATTTAATATCAATTAGCCATCCAGGAAAGTTTACCATTACAAAAACAGATGAAAAAGAAAAGAATAAAATTATTTGCCTGTTAATTAGTTGTTAATCCCTGCTTATCTGGACATTATCTTCAGGAGACAATATATTCTGGTCTTGTTTCTTCTAACCAAACCAGTCAAACTCAGCCCAAACTCCATTTGGCTTCTCCATTTAGACAGATTGAGATAATAATTTTTGAATTATTTCAACCAATATTTCAGGATTCATGAACACTTGTACCCTGTTTTCCCAAAAATAAGACCTCCCCAGATAATTAGTCTAATTGGGCTTTTGAGACCATGGGCTAAAATAAGCCCTCCCCTGATAATAAGCCTTCCAAAAATATTGCAACACAGCAGCAGCCAGGAGGTGACCATGCTTGCCACCTCCTGCACCCCCAAAATAGTAAGACCTTCCCCAAAATAAGGCCAAGTGCTTATTTCATGGGTCAAACATGATACTTCCAACATTTGTTTTTGCAAATTCCAAAATAAACTCAATGAGTTCCCAAACAATTTTATTCAGAGCTTTTCAATGTATAGAAATGCATATTGCAAGAAGTTAAAAAAAAACCAGTCATCCTATTTTCAATCTCTTATTTTATTCCAATCATATTTTATATAATCAGATCCACAGATTTGAAGAAGAAAAAATATTTATTCATTTTAACCTTTAAAAAAAGGAAAAATCTGGTAAGAAAAATGCACAAACATGTTTCTTCTAGAAATTTATTTTGGTAGTTATGTCTAGTATTTGTTTACATATAAGTGAATGAGTTCTATAAGTTTCACCCTTGCTGCCTATCCTGTTCAGATTCAATCACATGTGGACATAGTAACATTAGAATAAAATATTACTTACATTAAATTTAGCGTGTTTTTGTCTTATTCAACAAGCTAAGCTTTAATAACACTTTAGTCAGTGTTACTAAACAGAAAATAACAATAATTATAACTACATGCATATAAACACCCATATGAATATTTATTACTATAGATAACATTGATTTCATTCCTTTCCTCCTTATCCTTCAAAGTTAATACATATAATATACTTCCCTATTAGCTGTGAGGGAAAAAAATAAAATAATGTATAAAGACAAGACAGCAAACAAGACAGCAAACAAAAGAAAAAAATTACATTTGTTATATTTTGCCATATTTGATTATTAATCTTCTTGTATGAACCACAAATGGAATACGATTGCAAAATTATTTTGTAGCATTGTAGCATTCCAATGCATGTGTTGGACGCAGTATCCCTTTTCTGCCAATCTTAGTTAGAAAGCTGGGTGAAGAAGTGCATTATACAGATTGTTTTACCTTTTACAACCTCCAGATAGACTAACCTTGCTATTCCCTTAGGCTCAACTCTCAATTTGAATTCAGAGAATCAAAAAAAGAATTTTTTCATTAGCAGAAAGCAAACGTTTGGATAGACATTTGTACTTGTTTTAAACTATATTACAAAATATTTAATAAGGGTACTATATAAATATAACTGTGGAGAATGGAACTAGTTTGAGATTTCTGAGCAGTAAGCTAAATGGAAATTATGCCTATGTTTCTTAAACCGTTTCCAATTATTACTTTAATTTCTTTGTTTTTGAGGCTGTATATAATTGGGTTCAACATAGGTGTTAATACAGTGTATTGGATAGAGATCACTTTTTCCAGATCTGTGGGAGATTTAAAATTTGGTTTCAGGTATCGGAAAACAACTGAAAACAAAAACATGCAAACCACAATGAGATGGGAGCTGCATGTGGAAAACGCTTTGCTCCTGCCTTTTGCTGAGTTAATATGAAAAATAGAAGAAATAATATAAATATAAGACAAAACAATAAGAAACAAGGGTGTAAAAACAAAAATAATGCTTGTGGCAATCAACAACATATAATTATTAAAAGTCTGGCTACATGACAAGCTCAAGATCACGGGAAGTTCACAAGTGTAATGATTGATTGAAGGCATCCAACAAAATCTCAAATGTTTCAAAGGTAAAGTATTGATCAATGCATCTAAGAATCCCATTATCCAGGATCCTCCCACCAGCTGTCTGCATGTTTGCTTTCTCATAATTGTTGAATAATGTAATGGGTTGCATATTGCAACATAGCGATCATATGCCATTACTGAAAGCAGTGAGAAATCTACACAAGCAAAATCAATAATGGAAAAGATTTGCACAATGCATCCTATTAGATTGTTTTTTGGCTTGCTATATAATTTGTCAGCATCTTTGGGACAGTGACTGTTGAGTAGCAAATGTCAATGAAGGCTAGATGACTGAGAAAGAAGAACATGGGTGTATGGAGATGATGATCAATCCTGATTATCAATATGATCAAAATGTTTCCTAATATTGTTATTGTGTATATAATTAAAAATATAAAGAAAAGAATCATCTGTATTTCAGGATTACTTGAAAGTCCCAATAGTATAAATTCAGTAAACATGGTTTGATTTTCCATTGACAATTAGCCAATATCAGTAAGGTCTGTAAATGTGAAAAAAATATGAAATTAAGAGTTCATACATTTTAAAACATGAATGTATATTTCTATTGTTATAAAATATGTTGAAATTATTATATATTATTTATTTAAATTTTATTATTTATTTTTACAGTGTTCTGCTGTGAAACACTGACTTTTAGACTTTTTTAAATAATAGAAATATTTCACTTGAAGCCTGCTGCTTAATTATGCACATTTTTACTAAGAACTCAAAGCATTATATTAGCAGTTTTGAGGTTACAAGTTGCTTAAAAATTATGACTTCTCTTTAAGGTTAGTACATTTTCAGAATAAGTTGAATTTCCTATATTAGCTTGACGCAAACTACAATTAGTAGACTCTGTGACTCCCATTGCACACTGTCCTAACTTGTCCCAATGCTGTGCTTTGGAAATGTTTAATGCTTTAAAAAAATAGTTCTCACTGAGAATTTGGAGTCTGCTCTCAAAAGTAGAAAACTTCAAAAAAATTGACACACATGTGCCTGTGTGTGTGTGTGAAAGAGAGAGAGTTTGTGTGTATATATACTGAAAATCCAAATCAATGAAAAAGAATTAAGAACATTGAAACTACTATTAGTTTTAAAAGATTTTTACTTCATATTATACATAGACATATATTATTTGAACACACTTTTTAAAAATCCTTTGACTCACCTATATGCTTGGGGTGATCATCAGCCAATTTGTTTTAAAACAATACTGTTGTTTCCCAACCTAGCTCTTTTCCAGCCTACTTTCAGAATCTTTGTGAATTGATCCCATAATAAACTTCTTATAAAATCAGTTCTGTTCAGATTCCTTTTAAGCTGAGTAACAAGGATGTATCTTGTGTAATTTTTCCCTTGAAATTTCCCTAGTTTGTCATTTCTCAAAGGACTTTAAAAAAAAAAAGATCATTCAGAAACTAAGGAAAATCCTCCATCCAGAGTAAAGCAAGAGGAATGTACTGGAATGGGTGAAGCTCAGTTTAGTAGTAGCATTTTGCTACGCTGTTTAGAAGGATTACCTCCTTAACTGTTTTAAGATTCTAACATAGGTGATGATCATACAATGTTGATTAAAGTGATTATGGGGATGGTAGCTAATTGTGGGAGCCAATAGTATGAGTTCAAATGAGTACGCTGCTATCTATGAGTGTGCACACAATCAGATTAGATCCACAGAGGTGGATTATATATGGAAACTTACTTTGACAAGATGTTTGGGGATTACAGTTTGTAACAACAAAATGCAGAAGGGTATCATTAGAGATCTCTGTGATTAGTGTAATGGATAGTCATGTGGGTTTCAAAATTTCACATGACCTTATCCAAGTCAGATGACACAAGATGACTTCTTGTTTTTTTTTTCGTTTTTTTTTCCTCCTACTTTTATTACCTAAATATTTTTTTAAAAAAAATAGTTTTGCTTTCATTCAAGGAAAGCATTCAGGTTCCGAAAGCTATTTAGGCAGTATTTAATGTATCATTGAAACAAACCAATTCCTTCCTCCCACCCAGGCTCCTTTCAACCTTTTATATAAGTATATCAGATATGTTACACACTCACACTTGTATGGCTGCCTATCTTATAATACTAAATGGCTCACAACAATATTCCACAACAAATAAATAAATGAATAAATAATTTCCCACAAAATTTCACTGTAATGTATATGTATGTATATTTGTGTGTGTGTG